CTGTTAGAAGATTTTCACTCCTTTTAGGAAAGGATTCTTTTTGGAAAGACCGTGGCAAGAGTTTGGTGTGACTGGAAGGATAATTGGAGTGTGGGGAGAGTCTTGGTGGCAGGGAGACTCGATGGGAAGGAGGCTGTTGCAGTAGTCCACTGAAGGAAGAAGCATTGAGGTTTTGTTTTTAAACTGAGGAGTAACATACATTCTGTTAAGTGCATAAAATATGCTAGGTGTACAACTCTATGATTTTTTACCTGTATGTATACTGTGTCTCCAATACCTCTCTCAAGATGTAGAACATTTCCAGCCTCCTTAAAATTGCCCCACGATAAAGTCTCAAACTAAGGCATGAAAATTCATTACTAGTTCTAGATGGAAGTCAGAAAATAAGGCGGAGCTGAAGGTGACTCCAAACTTGGGAGACTGGGTAGACTGGAAAGAGATTCTGTCAACCAGGTATGTAACAGGAGGAGAGGAGGATTAGGTTTTAATTGATGGAGGAGTTAAGATGGTGAGATAAGTTCACGTTCAGACTTGTTGAGTTTGGCATGTCTGAATGGAGCTGGATAGGAGGCAGGTGGAAATGTAAATTTGGAGTTTTGGGGGAAACGCTGGGGATTGAAATGTAGATTTGTACATACTCATGACCATGTCAAGTCCGTCAGATCTAACAAGTAGATGAGAATTCTCTGGAGAGTCTGTAGACTGTGAGTTGACCTGAGGTTAGAATGAGAGGTGTACGTTGCTTTTATTGACTCTGTTTTAGTCCAAATAGTGAATAAAATCAGTGAGAAAATTTAGTTTATACATTTTAAAAATAAAACAATAAACAAAAATTTAGTAGTATATACTCTCTGTTAAAAAATAAAAGTAAATCAGCTCAGAGGGTTATAAGTAGGAAGTATGTTTCCTTCCCCCATTCCAGTCCCGCTCCACTTTCTTGTGTCTCCTTCCAGACGATTTCAGTGCATATATATCAAGTTTATGGTTTTATCTGTTGATTATACCACATCCCACTATTGCTGTGGTTGGGAGTGCCTATTTGGCAACTTACAAGTATGGTTGGCAGCCTCCAGGCGTGTGAACAAAATGGCTTTTTAGTTTTATTTTTTTTCACCTTCCCCTTGCCCTTTAATGTGTTTTACGGTGATGTACTTAAACTCTTGACTGAAAATATTTCTTCCTTTGCCTTTTTCTTTTTGCATTTTCTTGAAAAATAATGTTTAAGCAAGTGCATCTTGGTATTCATTGTAGTTCTTAAATCTCCCCTTGGTTAGTAACGCTACTGACGCAGGGTCATACTTTTGTCTGCTTAATGTGAACAGACTGTTTTTCTAACCTGGAGGGAGTGATATGCTTGTATTTTTTTTATTGCTTTGTTGACAGTGTAATTCAGATCCAAGTTCTAGAAATGTCCTAATATTAATTATATAATTACTGCAACTTATTTAACCCTTTTATGATGGTACTTATTGTTGAAAGAGCAAAGAGCATAATGTGTATTTTCTTTTTTTTTTCCTGCACTGTTCCCAGAGGTACTGCAATACTGGGGCGATGCGCAGCGTGGACGGAGCAAGCTCCTAGTCCACCTCTCTGCTCCAAAATTCCGCTTAGTATGTTGTACTCGGATAGAGGACGTATCAGATGTTAAACCGATAAGAATAGATCTCTACACTGGATCTTAGTAAAAAGGCCAACAAGCTATAATAATGTAGATTTTCATTCATTCATCAAATACTTTCTATAATACTAATAGCAATAAAAGGAAACATTATCGAGTACTTACCTATTTGTTGGCACTTAATAAATACCATCCTGAGTGCTAGATGTGCAGTAATAAGCAAGTAAGCCTGGTGCTTTCCATTATGGAACAGTGTATATGTATGTATAAGATGGTAATGTCAGAGATAACATTTAGCATCAGTGCTCAAAGATCAAGTAATTTTGTTCTGAGTTTTATGACAGTTTTTTTTTTACCTGTCAGAGGTTTGCATATCAGTTGGTCTGTCCATTCTGACCTTGCATGATCAGAGTGACCTGTTTTTCACCAGAGCACCACCCACCATGCTCCACAAACAACTAAAAGGTAGACTCCAGCAAGCACCAGAGCCCCACTCAAGCCAAATGCCATTGTGTGGGGTCAGCCCCCCACAACAGCTTGTTCTGGCTAGTCCTCATAGCCAGTCAGCATGAAGGCCAATCCCACTCACTCATGTGCCAACAACAATCAACTCTCAAGTACAACAGGAGAGTTCACACTACCCACACAAGGGGTACCCCTGGAGCACCCATCTCAGGTGACCAGGGGGAATGCGCCACTAGGCCCCACAGGACACCTACTACATAAGGCCACTCTGCCAAGACTAGGAGACATAGCAGACTACATAATATGTAGAAACAAACACAGGGAGGCAGCCAAAATGAGGAGACAAAAAAACATGCTCCAAATTAAAGAACAGGACAGAACTCCAGTAAAAGAACTGATGAAATGGAAACAACAAACTATCTACAAGATAAAGTTCAAAACACTGGTTATAAGGATGCGAAATGAATTTAGGAGAAGAGTAGATGAACTCAGAACTTACACAAGGAGAGAAACCATAAAAAAAAAAAAACAGAAATGAGGAATATAAGAACTGAAATGAATATTACATTAGATGGAATCAACTGCAGATTCAATGAGGCAGAAGAGTNACAGTCAGAAATGAGGAATATAAGAACTGAAATGAATATTACATTAGATGGAATCAACTGCAGATTCAATGAGGCAGAAGAGTGATCCGTGTTTTTGACTGAGGCCACATTCCAAAAGTTCCTTCATAGTTGAATCTCAGTTCCTTCAAATGCTTTTAATTTTAAAGGTGGCTGCGATAGGATCACATAGTATTTAAAAGCAAACTAATGGTTTAACTTCCTCCTTCCTAGACAGTCCAACCAACTGTTTGCATTTACTTGGTCCTGCTGGTTTGGGTGTGTCTCAGTTCCAGGCGGATAGCTTTTAAAACGATCCACCCACAGCATTCCTAACATATAAATCTGCCACACATTTGTTAGATTTAGGAGCTCTGAAAATTGCTTCACTTTTTACTTTTATGTTCAATTGAGAGAAAATATTTTAACAATTTCAAAGTTAAGGAGAGTTGGGTACTGGTATGGCTAAATATTTTTAGATATAGTTTTTTTAAGGGACGATCAGAATGTTATTTTTCGTGTGTTTTGAGTGCTTTCGATTTTGTTTTGTTCAGCTTAACAGCTTATGGCTTATAGTGTTGATTTTTAAATAATTTTCTATCTTCAGATATTGGCTCATTGCTAGCTAGTTTCCTCTAAACATATTACAACCTTCTGCATAAAAGTTTAAGTATTAAATATGAACACAAACTTACATCCCTTTGAGAAGAGATTAATGAAGACTTAAGCCAGTTTTATGAATAGTTTTCATAAGTTCTTTAGGCCATCAGATTGAATCAGTACCAACAGATTCCATGTATCATGTCTATCTGAATGTCTTTCCTTTGTCAGATACAGCTATTTTTTTTCAAACTGTTCTAACTTACAGCATCAAGTAGCTTTCCCAAACTAACATTACCAGGATACAGTATTCTAAAACATATTTACTCCTGGGGTATGTATATATTAGTTTCTATAGTTTTGTAAATTTTTATTAATTTGTTCTTATTAGTTTACATTATATCTCTGGTCAGGTTGCAGGAGAGGGCAAGAATCTCTTATTCCTTTGGGACTTCTCATAACTCTAGTACAGGGCTCAATTGAACAATATGCTCCTGGTAAATTCTGATTGACCATCCTCACTGCTCTCAGTTGTTTCAAATAAGATTAAAGTTAACACGTAGAATGCTCTAGTGGCCCCTGACTGGGTAGGTCAGTTGATTAGGGCATCACCCCGATATACCAAGGCTGCGGTTCCATCTCTGGTCAGGGCACATACAAGAAGCAACCAATGAGTGCATAAGTAATCGGAACAAATCAGTGTTTCTTTCCCTCTCCCTTTTCCACCACCCCCCCGTCAAACTAATAAATTAAAAAACAGTGCTCTAGTGGATTTTTTCTGTAAAATAAGATTTCCATTAAAATTGACCAAAAAGTAAAAAGCTTTGAGTTATAACATCAAAAGTACAGTGACTTGATATCTGTATATTAAAATTCAAGTACCCCAAAGAATGAATGAAACCAGGGATAATCCTGAGGGGTTTAAATGAACACTTAGATGAAGGGAGCAAACGACTTCATGACAGTTACTGATCACTGTAACAGTTTTCCCCCTTGTGTTGGGTTTCACTTTCTACTTGTATACAGTGCTGGACCACTCACAAAATTAAGCATTGTGTGTGTTTTCATAGGGGCCAGATGCTGATGTTTGGAATACTATGGCTGAGTGGCTTTAAGAGCATAAAGCAGTAAAACATTTACAAATATTTTATTTTATTCTAAAACTGAATTTACTTTTGATCGTTTCATTTATAAGCTAATATACTATTTTTCAGGATAGGCTTTCTCTTTGTTGATTTATATTTTTGTTTTCTTTATTTTTTCCTTATTTTTTCAATTGTGGTTTATGTTCAGTATTATTTTGTATTAGTTTCAGGTGTACAGTATAGTGATTAGACAATCACATACTTTATAAAGTGTTCCCCCAGTATTTCTGTTCTTTAATAGAACAAAGGGAATTATGTATTCTCCAACCATAGTATTTTAGGATCTGTTTCAGGAAATCAGATAATGATAGAAAGCAGTTAGGCATTGTTCTCTCAGGTAGTCCCTCTCCCTCTGTTTTTCGTTGTTTGCTGTTCATCTGAATTATATATAACTTACTTCTGTTGAAAAAATTATGCCCTGCTTAGATCTTAGCAGGTTTCTTTTTAAATATTACTTAGAGAATTCTGAAGGTATAGTTATACAAATCTGTAAAGACTACTTAGGTTTTTAAGGAGAAATCTCTTTCTCAGTGTGATTGAAATAAACATTTTAAATCTCCCTTTCAGATCCATCATGTTACACAAAATGGAGGACTGTATAAAAGACCATTTAACGAAGCTTTTGAAGAAACACCAATGTTGGTCGCTGTGCTTACTTATGTGGGGTATGGTGTACTCACCCTCTTTGGGTACCTTCGAGACTTCTTGAGGCATTGGAGAATTGAAAAATGTCACTATGCAACAGAAAGAGAAGAACAAAAGGTAATTGTTAGTCTTTAATTCTGTGAATGGAAGCCTTTTATAGAAATCTTGGTATTTTCACTTAGTTTTCTCTTTAGGTATTTTGGTACACATTAAAATAAAAATATTCCAGCCCAGCCGGGCGTAGCTCAGCGGTTGAGCATCGACCTAGGATCCAGGAGATCGAGGTTCGATTCCCAGTCAGAGCACATGCCCGGGCTACGGGCTCGATCCCCACTGACTCATCATTGATGTTTCTGTCTGTCTCTCTCTCCCTCTCCTTTCCTCTCTCTGAAATCAATAAAGATATATTAAAAAAAAATAAAAATAAAAATATTCCAGATTCAGTTAAATGAAAATACTCTACAAAGAAAGTTGAAAACAAGGTTAAAGGCATGGAGAAACTAAAGCATTTAACTTTTCTTTTTAAATACTCACCCAAGGATGTGCTTTTTTTTCATTGATTCTAGAGAGAGAAGAAGGAAGAAGGAGAGGTAGGGGAAGAGAGAGAGAGAGACAGACAGAGAGACAGACAGAGAAGCATCGATTGGTTGCCTCTTGGATGTGCTCTGACTGGCATCGAACCCACAACCTGGGTATATGTGTGCCCTGACTGGTAATCGAACCTGAAGAAACCCTTTGGTACATGGGATGGTGCTCTTAGCACTGAGCAACACCGGCCAGGGTAGCATTTAACATTTTTTATTTAATCATCACATGAACCTATTCCTATTTTATGGGTAAGAAAGTTAAAATTCACAAGTTAAGTAATGTTTCTTAAAATGCCTAGTTTTGAAGCTGGTATGCAGACACGGGTGGGCGAAGAGCCAAAAGCCATGTTCTTTCTGTTCACAATACCGTACTGTATCCCAGGTTGTGTCCACAGTCATCTGAAAAGATTTTGTTCTTTAGCACTCATGATGTGTTTTCTCATAGACACATTACATATAAATGTCTGGTTCACAGATCAGTTTCTCTCCCCAAACAAGCCCTAAAGCAGAATGTGGCTGAACTACTCTGTTTATAGAAAACAGTCTTGCGTTAGTAATGGTAAATAGAAGTGATAATGTTCTCTCTGGGGAGGAGGACCTACAAGTGGAACCTCAGTTCTCAGACTTAATTCGTTCTGGAAGGCTGTTCAGAAACCAAATCCTTTTTTCCCCATTCGAAATAATGTAAATTGAATTAATCCATTCCAGACACCAAAATGATTCCCTGTTTTAACCTTTCTTATATACAGTACATGTTTTGTGTACTCTTTAATCTATAAATAAACATTTTAAAAACAAAAAGGACATGGAATGTAAATGAAAATTTAACAAAAAGAAAATGAGATGAATATTTAATAATAATAAGCAGCAACAAAAGCAAAAAAAACCCCACAAAATATTCACAGCACAATTTCCTGAGATGTTAACGTTAGGTTTAGCAGTAAACTGCTCTGTCGCCTGAGAGATGCATGACTGATCATACAGGTATCAGCATGAAAGGGTTTTTGGGTTGAGAATCGAATTGTTCAAACTGGGAGACGTTCAAGAACCGAGGTTTGACTAATTCACTTCATTTTTCTCTGTATACTCCTTTGCGTGTCTAGAGTTTTATACAATATACATATATTACCTTTTCTCAAAAATAAATAAAATTAGGGTGAAAATGCCCAGTTTTATGAAAAAGAAACTTGTTCTTGGCGTGTGAAGTATGGAGAGGTTGTCCTGCAGCCCAGGGAGTGTACCAGAATAGAGAAGGGAATCAGAAATTAGATTCTTTTTGTCCTTCATACATCTCACTTTTGTGGGGTATTGGAGAAGGGCAGATGAAATGGCAGCAAGGTCACCACTGAGAGAGGATCCAGTAAACACTGGAAATGGACTATGGTCACGTGGGGCATCCAGAAACATGGGAGAGGAAAAGGATCTCTCTGTAACTAGGAAGCCAAAGCCAATCAGTGTGTAGATTGAAGATCCTGGCCCTGGGAGAACTCAAGGTCCAGGCATTCTTTGTCTTCTCAACCATTCTGCACCCTTCCCTGCCCCACAAGTTAGCCATCTTATTCATTGCTCTGAAATGCCTACAAGTTAATTTCTTTAGAAAGGTATTTTTTTTGAATTCCTAATTCAAGCAAAGCCCTGCATTCAGAACTTGACCCCGTTGGCCAAACTAATTTTCAGCATTGAAAACCAGAACAAATTTAAAATATCTTTGATTAATCTTTTTATAAAAAAAAAACACATTCATTTAAGAGAGAGGGAGAGAGAGAAACATTAATGATGAGAGAGAGTCATCGATCGGCTGCCTCCTGCATCCCCTCCTGGGGATCAAGCCCTCAACCCTGGCATGTGCTCTGACCAGGAATCAAACTGATCTCCTTCCTGGATCATAGGTTGGTGCTCAGCCGCTGGGCCACACTGGTTGGGCTCCTTGATTACTTTTAAAGGGAAAGAGGAATTATGGTAGACCTAGCCTTATGGTAGATCTTGTTTTCTGATTCTGGATTAAATGTAGTCCAGGGATAGGCAAATTTTAGTATTAACACTGGAAAGAGGTGAGGGAAAGCGCTTGCTTGGCTTCATGAGATGCAAATATCACGTTGCCACTTCCTTATTTCACTGAGCGAGAGGTTTCCATAGCCACAGCCTTATTTTCTTCCTCATCCTGTTGCAAAGGAGGGCCCAGTTTAACTACTTATGCTAGCTCTTAGTATGTTGCTTTGGGTAGAACTGAATCACACTGTCTTACTAATAAAGATGAGTTCTGCCCAGCTGAGCATGGCTCAGTGGTTGAGCATTGATCTAGGATCTAGATCTCCATTCGATTTCCAGTCAGGACACATGCCTGGGCTGCAGGAACGATCCCCAGTTAGGGGTGTGCAGGAGGCAGCAGATCAATGACTCTCTCATCATTGATGTTTCTATCTCTCTCTCTCCCTCTCCCTTCCTCTCTCTGAAATCAATAAAGATACATTTTTTATATTAAAAAAAAAAGATGAGTTCTCATGATTTTGTTGTATTTTATATACATTGCATAACATTTTTGAGATTCTTTGCTGCTTTATCCTCTATTAATAGTCCTGTTTTGGATGAGAATGTTGTTTTTACCAGTCTGTGGTTTATTTCTTTTTTATGTGAGATGAAGCTAGTATTCCAGAAATGTGTATGTGATAAAGTAAAAGCTTGAATTAATGAAAATGTTCTAATAGATAAGAAATACCTAGAAGCCTAAGGAGTAAATTGTGGTAAGAAGTTACCACACACTTACTAAACTTCAAACTAACATTTTGCCTCTCCAGTTTGTTCATGATCAGATATTAAAGAATTGGAAGGGATAGGATAGTGAGAAGGGACATTATATGTCCACATCCTGATATGTTTGATTTTCAAGGTTCAAAAGGAAGAAATTGATTGATATTATATTCATAGGATTCCTGGAAGGATTTTATTTTTGATCTCCTTCAAAAAGTAGCTTACTAAGAATATTTTGATAGTTGTCATTTTAGCAGTATTTTTGGAAACTAGTAATATAGTACAGTTGCCTGATGTAGTAAGCTGGGGATTATCATTTGGTTTGTCTTTTTAGTTTTGTGGATTTAAAAAGAGTATTACTTCCTGGCCAGTATGGCTCGGCAATTTAGCATCAACCTATGATCCAGGAGATCACGGTTCGATTCCTGGTCAAGGCACATGCCCGGGTTTCGGGCTTGATCCCCAGGCAGGGGTGTGCAGGAGGCAGCCGATCAATGACTCTCTCATCATTGATGTTTCTATCTCTCTCTCCCCTTCTCCCTCCCTCTCTCCCTCCCTCTCTCTGAAATCAATAAAGACATATTAAATAAATAAAAAGAGTATCAATTTTCCATTGTTTTGTGATATGTGAGCCCAGACCAGCGGTCATCTTTTTTCTTGAACAGCTTTATTGAGATGTAATATACATACCGTAAAGATCACCTGTTTAAAATGTACAATTCAGTGGTTTTTACAGACGTGTGCAGCTGGCACCATAATCTAATTTTTATAAAATTTTTATCATCTGAAAAAGAAACCCCATACCCATTAGTAGTCACTCCTTCTTTTTCCTCCCACCACTAATTTACTTTCTGTCTTTAGACTTTTCATATAAATGGGACATACAATGTGTGATCTTTCTTGTCTGGCTTCTTTGACTTGGCATAGTGTTTTTGAGGTTAATCCATGTCATAGTGTATTTCAGTAATTCATTGCTTTTTATTGGTGAATCATATTCCATTGTATAGAGCAATCTATTTTTATTTACTCTAGGGATTTCTCACTGGCGAGAAGCTATATCCAAAATAAACATTTTAAGAGAATTTTGTAGTACCTTACAACTTTACTTTTTTGCACTGGTGAAATCACTAGCTTTACAAGTTTCCCTGTCACCTACTGGGCTTTTTTGTTTGGAGCAACAGTGTAGCTTTTTTCAGCAAGGCATTTTTTGTCTTTTGCATCTTTAGGCTTTTCTTTGTATATTCAGCTTTGCTTTTTATTCAGCACTTTGGAACTGTTTTTTACTATTAACTGAGAATGTAAAAGTTTAAAGAACTGTCTGCTATTCTAAGTCATTCTCAGTTTAAATTGAGTACTGTTGGGGTGTTAAACTGGTAAACTGATTTTAAAATGCTTATCAAAATGAAAAAATAAAGTTAAAAATGATCTATGAATTCATGGGTCCCTGAGACTATCCATAAATTCTTAGATCCCAGTTTAAGAAACCATGTTGAAGATATTAAGCTATATTTTGTTTATATTTATGGTTCTCACTAAAGCATTTTGAAAATACCATGACAGCCCTGGCTGGTTTTCTCAGTGGTTAGAGTGTTGGCCTCAGACTAAAGGGTCTCGGGTTCGATTCCGATCAAGGGCACTTACCTCGGTTGCACATTTGATCCCCAACCAATCAGTGTGTCTCTCTCACATCAGTGTTTCTCTCTCTCCCCCCCACGCCCTCCTACTCTCTCTAAAAAAAAAAACCCAAATGAAAAATTATAAAAGGAAAAAAAGAAAATGCCA